TCGCTTCTATAAAGCTGACTGTAACAAACAAACGAGTGGAAGATCTGCAGAGGGACACCGGCCTTGCACGTCTCCCCTTCTAGAAGATGCATGCTTAAATGAAGATGAATAAAGGTTTTTTTGAAAATGAATACTGAGTACGGTGCCGTCTCTGGATACCCAGGGAATAAAAAGTACCGGGGTGAAACTGATTTCGTAACACTGTCTACATAAACGCAGTGATGACCCTTAAAAGGCTTCAAAAGCAATGAAGGATTTCAGACAGAGCAGAGAGAGGGGAGCTGTCCGCAGCTAGGTCCCAGAGCCAAAGCTTCCACCTTCTGTATGACATCTACTTATTTATGCACACATACATACAATTACTAGGTGTATATATATAAATATTTCCCGTACTAATTCCAAAATGTGTGGGGATCGGGCTTTTCAGGCACTGACACCAAGGCTGTGGAATTCTCTTCTGTTGTCTTTACGCTGTGTTGACTCTTTTAAAAAGCAGCTGAAGACATTTCTCTCTAAAGAGCTTTTAAGTAAGTTTTTTTTTTTTTTTTACATTGTTTTATATTATTTTATTTATATTTCTGTTTTTATTGTGAAGAATTTTGTGATTTTTATCTATGAAAAGTGCTATATAAATAAATTTTATTTACTGCCTGTTCACAGTGAAATGTTACCAGGACACTAAAGTTAGTTAGTCAGTTAGTTAGCCAACTAGCTTGAAATCTTTTTTTGTTCTTTTTCCTTCTGGTTTTGTTTATCTCACTGTCAGAGATGGCCACTTCTCTGGGAGACACACCCAAGGAAAGCATCAATTAGTTCAACTTCCTGGGTGAAGTTGAACAAATGTCTTAATCCCCTGCCAAGTTTGGTGCCACTGATTCACTTTAAGCAACTCCCATGCTAAAAACAAAACCTGTGTAGTCTTCAGTGGTGTACCAGGTTCAAGGCAACTTTAAATACAAACTCAAGGGTAGGCAGCAGACCAGGGGTACAGTCTCCCACCAACTGCAGTAATTCGCTACAGTCTGGTCTCACAGCTGGTATTTTGGACTTCAAAGATGTTTTTGAGATCTTACTCTACTTCTACTTCACAATGATGTTGGAGTTGCTAGTGGCCGTGCAGTCATAGGTGTAGAGTAAGTATAGGAGAGGGCTCAGTACACACCCCTGTGGAGCATCAGTGTTCATTATGATGGGGGATGAGGTGATGCTACCCAGTCTGACCACTTGGCATCTGTCAGACAGGAAGTTAAGGATCCAGCTGCAGAGAGAGCTGCACAATCCTACAGTGCAGTGCAAAAGTGAGTGTGACTGAGATCCCGAGTTACTATTGCGAGATCCCACTACTTTTTGGTAGCATTTCTGTTTCTGTCCATTCAGGAATCAGAAGGGTCCACGGAGAAGACATGAAAGAACATGATAGCATAAAACACTGGGGCTGAGAAGGTGACAAATTCGGTGAAAGTTGTTACCATGGTAATGTGGACGCCATGGCACAAAATACTTGGTGGAACTTATCTTACTCATACCTTACTTCACAAAATAATTTTTAGTAATGTGGTCTAACACTACAACTATACTAATACTAGCACTAACACATTTCCCTTTGACCTGCTGTTTATCCATATAGATTATTTTGGTGTAAATTGTCCAGTTTTTCTCATAAACAAAAATCAGGTAAAAAAAATAAAAATAAACATATTACAGAATTCTTTATTTTTACATTCATCAGGTCCCAAGCAGCCCTAATAGCAAAGTTTTGTTCATGCCATACTCGTTCCTGTTATGTGCGTCACGTACGTCAAATAAAACTCACTCCCTGCTTCTTTGGGTTTGGGTCCTTCTATTAAATCAACATTAGGAGGTTAATGATGAAATTCTGTTTAGAAATTGTTTAAGCTGATGTAGCCTGCGTGAAATGTGGCCTATAAACACCATCTTGTAACAATAAGTCCTATATTGCTTGATTAGCTTTCTGAATTTTTATGTAATACTTCCAAAATCTTTACTACTTTTTTTTTGTTATAGAGCATATTGCAATCACAAGTTATCTTTTTGAAAAGGAGTTTGTGCATTTGCCAAAATGTGACATATAGATTATCCATATTTTTTTATATTGCCTTGAATAATTACAAATTACCAAACAAGGATTATCAGATTCAACATTTTCTTGAAGAATCAAGACTGTAGGCCAGGATTGTACAATGGATTAAATATATATATATAGTTAATTAGAAAATGTTCCCACATTTTTGACAGATTATGCATTTGTACCATCTACCCTTCTCTGAAATTAAAGTGCTTGGGAACACAGGTAGGCCATACACAGATATTGTCACTATGCTTTTCTGTCATTTGGAATTTTTTTGTTGTCTGTTCTACATTGTCAGAAAGAAATAAAATTTGATTACATTTCAGTTTATTTGTCCTGTTCTTCAAAAACCCATATCATCCTTACAGAAATGCTGAGTGATGCCAAAATAGCATTTGAATGAACTTGCTGTTCATCAATAGAACAGGTAGGTACAGAGAGTATCATAGTCAGCTGATAAAATAGGTTTCAAATAAATTCAGTAACCAAAGCAGCTTTATGGCTACATCATGTACACAGGTATTTTTGAAAACACAGCTTTTTCTATGGAGATTTTTAAAAACTCCTGCCGGGGCAGAGATTGTTGAAAACAGAGATTTAGTCGAGCAAAGTGAAAGGGGTGTGCCTTTTTTGACGTCATGCTGTGCGCCACGTTATTGTTTACATGAAATTAATTTATACAAAGGCGGATATAGACAAAATACTGTTGCTGTTAGAAGACAGAGAAAAACCTAAACTAAAAAAACCTTTGTTTAGCTTTACCAAGCCTGACATCTCATGTCCTTGTACTCCTTAACCACTGGTCAAAACTTCAAACTTTTGGGCATCCTGGAATGTTTCATCCCCTGCTACTGTTGGTGATGCCCATCCACAAGTTAATGCCATTATTTAATGTAAGAAAAATTAAATAAGGGATGAGTTGAGCGAGTTCAGTTTAATTACTCATAGTGAGCAATCGAAACTTTCTGCAGCCATTGTGTTAACCAGCACAAGGACACTGAGCTTGCCTGTGAAAGTCAGACTTAGGGAAGTACCCCTCATTTCTCTTTTGTAACTGAAAAGAGGTCTTTCATCAGCTGTCCAGCTAGTCTGGAAACAATATCCCATTGAATATTGTGAAACAAAGAGAAATGTGTGAAGGGCTAATCATATTAACTGTTCCAGTGTGTGGTGAGTCCGCTTCTACACCTGAAAAATGTGTTTCTTTTGTTTGTCTCCTGCTTTGCCTCAATTACTATGATATTTTTGCAATTTTATAACTGTGTCTACATTTTTCTATGAGTAAACGATGCGTATATTTTTTAAAATATGCATAGGATTTTGTTTTGTGTTTTTTTGTGGGGTTCTTTGGATTCGCAAAGTGACTTGAACTGAATGTCTCAAGTTAGCTGCTTGTCCAGTTCATTTGGTCTACAGCAGAACCTAAAACTGAGCTGAAGGGGATTCAGTTATCACCTTTTGCACACTATGGAACGCCAGGAATGCCATAATGGTCGAGACACAATTCATTAGATAATGAACTTTGAAAATAAATATTTTTGAATATCTTTGGCCATGTGGGTTAAAGGGGGAACTGTTGGAATGATCAGACAGAGTGACTGGGTTGAACATTCGAGCTCAGTAAACCGGACTACTGGGCAGGTGATTTGAGAATTGAATTGAGTTATGACAGGAGTTGGCCAGGAATTACAACCGTGAGAGAGGAAGAGGAACATTTGATATAGATGAACTGCAAACATATAGCACTCAAGTTTTTAAAATGTTTTAACCATTTCCTTTATTTCAAAATGCAGATACTTAAATAACATAGTGTATATCTTCATGGGACCCAAGAAAAAAAGATTCTTCCCATTAAACTTTTTTTTTTGTGATTTCCTCTCTTTGGAGCTAAAAGACATGAGACGCATGAGATGGAATGAAAAGAACAGGGTGTCTTCTATTATTACATCAGGACAGTAGGTCAGTAGCTCAAATAAGTCAAAAGCTATAGACCAAATGTCCTTTTCAGAAGACATCAATGAAGAGGCTGGTTGTCAGGAAGATATGATATTAATACATGTGACATTCCATGTTTTGGCAGGGTTTCTACGGATACTTTAATCTACAAAAACAACATTTTTCAGAAGTGAAAAGAACACTAGTATGAAGAAATTAAGTTCATTACAACTCTTTGTAACCATCCATTAGTAACACAAGAGGTCAAAGTGAATATATGTGTTGTCACTGATTAACAGCTCCATGAATGAAAACATTATTAAGCGCTCTTTACTTTATAGCTCAAAATGCTGAATACAATGAAATTATAATGATAAAAAAATGTTGATCATTAAAATTAATTTTAAAAGTTAAATGTGCATGTTTCTTTTCATTTTTTATTTAAAAGGCAAATGCTAAAATAAGCATACAATAATTTATTCATTTACAGTAAGATAATAGTAAGATAATAGGTTTATGTTTTTTCCCTCAAAATGTGTCATTTAGCTCAGTCATAACACAGATGTTGCTGTATGAGCTAACCTTCAAACATTTTCATATTGTGATTTAATGATGTAAAATCTTCCTAACACCAATAATTTTGGCAGTCCTCTTTGTCTGCCTCTTTAAAAATAACAATATAATGAAAATTCTGCTTCTATTTTGTGAAAACACTTTATCTGTCCAAAAATTCTTTGCTGATGACAAACTGATTGAAATTTAACATAAAAATATCTGTTTTTATTTCTCACTGTATTTTGAACTATCATTTTTAAATTGATATTGTTCCTATTTGCTCTCCTTTGTAAAATTTAATTTCAATAAAGCAGGTTTCTATGTACCATTCAAACAATCTACTAAAAGTCCATATTTTAATGCAATGTTATCATTTTATGTGGTTTCATTTTTGAATAATTGTTGAGCTGTGGTGACTCACTCACAGTTTGCACATTTCATTCAGACTTTCAATAGCATCTTCTTTAGTGTGTGTTTTCCACTCTCTGGGAATCTGACCACTCCCTGTGAATTTAAAACGATAGTGCTTTTCCATTTCCTTCTGAAACCGACACACAAACCATGTCCAGTACTTCAGCTTAGATTCATCAGGGGTGATTCTCCAGTTTTTATATGGTGGTCCGGCTTTGCGGTACTTTTTAAAAGGAATGGGATCTAACCTTAGATTAGGGTAAAAACGTATATCACTTGCAACTTTTGTTGTGCAGAACTCGACACTCATTTCATCACTGTTCTTGTAGTGTCCACCACTGAGTGCAGAAGGTCGATGAAAGGGGACACTGTGATCTTCAGGACTGTGATCTTTAACAGTGTTGGTACAAACAGCTGCACAGAACGGGCAGGTTTCCCAGCAGCAGTTACACAGCTGATCAATGAGGATTTGATCAGGTCTCAGTCTGAATTCCTTCATCTTATCCAAGGAAAGCTGATTCATCTCCTCTTTGATGGATATAAGACCTTTCTCAATCTCTTCTTTAAGAAATTCGAAATTGTTTATGTCCCCGAAGTTTTGACAAGAGATAGATTCAAGCGTCAATTTATCTTTAAGGAAACTGCAAAATTCCTTTACCCACATGTCAGTGTCTCCTCTTTGTGTTTTGACATTATTTGTTGCATCAAACAAAGCTTGAGAGACAAAATTGTGTATCACATCCACATTTTTCCTGAGTATGTTTTGAGCTTTTTCTTTGTATTCTGTGAACATGTACGTGTTTACTCTCTCTTTGATAAAGGCTGCTACTTGCTTCCTTGGATTTTGGATGTAGGTGATGAAAGCATCAAAGTCCTCGTTCTCTGCAAGTAATGTCAACAAATGTTTCTCTAAGTTCAGTCGGTTCCCATTGAATGCTGGGAAAGTGCACCTCATCTCTCCAGCGAGATCAATGGCAGTCCTGTTACAGACCGCTTCAACAATGGAAACCTTCAGTTTTTCACAGATCATTTCTCCAAACACAACAGCAGATGAGCTTCCTTTGCAGAAGCTTCTGAAAATGTTGTAGTATTGTGTTTTTTTGCTTTCCAAATAAGTGCGTGCATCAATGTTCATTTTATATTTCTCATGAGACTGTGAAAGCCAACTGCCCGCCCTGTCAAATATGTACAGTAAGAGATCAACTGTGAACTCCTTTTTGAAAGTACATTTCTGGTTTGATTCAAACTCTGACACTGTGTCTTGAACATTTTTGGCCACTTCTTGTAAGTAAGCTGAACTGTAGCCTCTTGTTGCTACAGGTTTGCTCTTGACTGCATCAAGAGACTCTTTGTCAATGCTGATTATTAGTGATCTGATCTGTTCCTGGTCCTCATACTCCATAGGTCCCCAAATGTGATCTTCAATCAATGAAAAAACTTGGGCTACAATGCCCTGTCCTTTTTGTTGCTTGTGGACGATATAACCCATGTAGTCATCAAACTCAGACATATTTTTGTATTTCCCACTGCTTTTGGAATCATTTATAATATTTTGTTCAATCCCAACATCTTGAAGGATAGTTTCCTGATCCTCTTCCAGGTTGATGTCCTCAATGGGTTTTGTATCTGCAATTAAATCCTTTACCCAGTCACTCCAAACACCATCGAACTGTTTTTGAAGTTCCCTGTCATCTTTTGGTTTGTCTTTTAACTGATGAGCGAGCTCTTTGCTCTTTTGCAGCAGCTTGTTCTCAAACTCTGGCTTCTTATCCTCCAGCTTTTTACACGCTTTCTTCTGTTGCATAACTTCATCCAGTTTTCTTTGCACTCCTCTCACCAGCTCCTCTTGGAACTCCTTTATTTTGTTGTCAAATCGGCCTCTCCACTGAACCAACATATCTTTGTCTCTGTCATCCTCAAAGTACTTTGACATATCTTTTTTGATTTTTTCAGATGTTTTGCTCATTTCTTTAACAATATCACTACGCTCAATTTTGTCAATGTCTCCATTTTCAATTCTGGTGTGAAGCTGGTTTTCAATCGCCAGCATGTTGCTCCTCAGGGCCCAGGTCCAGTTCCCATATTCAACCTCAAGTTTTCTGTAAACAGCAATTTCTAGTGAGTTTTTGAAGCTAAAAACAAATTGCTCATTAATTAGAGCATTCCACAAGTCATGAATTTTTATTCTGAAATGTGACAGTTTTACGCCGGCAGACTGTTTAGCTTTAGACAGGATGATGTTCTTCAGCTCTTGGATGCTCTCACTGTAGCCTGGATTTGGAGGAGCCATCGGTGGACTTCCCTCCAATAGCTGAGCAAAGTATTTCACATCTTTTTGCACATCAAAGGAAATGACATCATTGAAGCACTCAGCATCACATGATTCCTCTTTAGCAGCTAGTTTAGCCATATGGTCCAGTTTTTCTTGTAGGCGTCTTTTCCCATCCATGTTTTTCTCAGCAGCTCCAATGTCTGTAATATTCTGGTGAACAAACACACAACTCGGAGAAAGTTTAACCTTCTTCATCCTCATGAAAGCCTGAACAACAATCTGCAGGACATCCTGCATCTCAGCTGGAGTCTCACCAAAGATGTTGATCAGTGTCATGTTTCCCAGACCAACAGTAAATGTTGCTAATTCATTGTCATGATTACAAGTACTATTTCCTGCCAGCTCAAGAGCACGAAGTCCTTCAGTGTCCACCACTAGAAAATAGTCAATCTGGAAGTCTTTCTTGATTTCCTCTGACACTTTGACCAGCTGCATGAAGGCACCTTTGGTGCATCTGCCTGCACTCACTGCAAACTTCAGTCCAAACATGGCATTCAGCATTGTTGATTTTCCACTGCTTTGTAGGCCCAAAACTGACAACACAAAAACTCTCTGGTCGCCTAGTTTCTTGATGACTTCATCTAAAAGACTAGAGATCCATGTTAACGGGACATGACCTGCATCACCATCCATCAGCTCCACTGGGTGTCCTGAAATCATCAGATCTGCAGCCAGTTCAGGGTATTTAACCCACTCAGTGTGTTTACTTTCTGCTTGTACTGCTCTATGGGCTTCATAGATCTGTCCCATTTCTCTGAAGATGTGCTCCAAGCCAAACATTGCAGACTGCAGTGTTTTGGAGATTTCTTCAAGCTCTGTTTGTTTGCTTGTTAACAGATCAGATTTGTCATGTTTCTTCTTCAGGGTTAAGACTTCAGTCCACTTTTCATCATAGCTTTGGAGAATTGAAGATATCTCGTCTGTGGATAGGGCATCTATTAAGATCTGAGTCCATTTCAGGAAGTACTCCTTCTCTTTTGATGGCAAAGACAAGAGGCTTTCTGTGAATGACTTCATCAGTTCACTACATGAAGCTTCGCACTGATTTTGTCTTATTTGCATCAGCTGCTGTTGTTTCTCACTTTTTTCCTTCTCAATGTTTCCTTTAAGGTGATACAGCTCTTTATTTATTCTGCACCACTCATGCCACAGCTTGGCTTGACAGGGGAGAAATTTTTCTTTGAGCTTAGAAATTTCCATCCCTTGAAGCATTTTAACTGTTTTCAGTGCAGCAGCTTTCCCTTTTTGGTAGACTACATGATCTTCATCCACTGTGACTCCAGAAACCTCAGCCATTGATTCAAGCTGGAAGGATGTGTGAGGTCCAGATAAAATTTCTTTAATTATTCCTTTCAGTTCATCAGAAACCTCTGATTGATTTCTGTCTTTCACACCCATTTTGTATTTTCCATTTTTAACCTGAACTGCATCACTATCATCATCAGCAATGAGAATAATGAGTGCCGTTGGTGAGCTATAAAGGGCTTGGATGACTGTAGTACTTTTCTGGCCTTTCGCCAGAGTTGGCAAAAGAACAACATTAACTGAGGATTTTTCTGTCAGTATCTCACGCTGTTTTTCAAATGACAGAGCATCACCATGAAGATTACAAAAGGCAATGCAGTCAGGGAAGGAGTCATTGGGTTTTCCAGCAGGGCAGTACCAGGCAATCTCTGCCACACCATCCATCAGCAGCCGAGATTTGGTGCTACCTGGGCAGTTCCTGTGGAAGAAGGCGCTGTGACGGTCATTGATCAAAGTGTTCATGAGCTGAGATTTTGACACTGGCAGTGAACCCAGGCGGAAGAAAAACACCATGGGTGTCTCAGCTTTGCAGATGGGCATACTCTTCATGTTGACAACATTTGAATTATCTTTGATTTTAGCTATCTTCCATGTTTTTGTTATTTGCCTGAATGTCCACAGAGGACATTCAATATCCTTTGTGACTGGGTCAGGGACCAGCAAAGGTAAGGCATACTGACACTGTGATAGCTTTGTAACCAGGTTCTGCTTAAGGAAGCTGTCTGAACAATGAAATACTGCCATCTGAACATCCATTGGGTGAATGTGAGATTTTGATTTATTAGAGTCTACCTTTGCACTAAATAGAGCATCAAAGTCATCATTGTTGAACACTGGAACAGACTTTGAAGGGGTTACATCAGGATTGTCTTGCCTTACAGGGATATATCTTGCTCTGTAGTCTAACATCATCATCCTCTGAAGAAAAGTATAAGCTAAATCCTTTTCAGGTGTGTCGTGGCTCTGATTCACAGGAGGGCCTATTTTAAGAAAGTCTGCTGGTGACATTTTCTGTGTTTGTTTGTCCTGAAGGTGAAGTCTGCTCAGAAGTCTTTCAGTTTCTGTTTGGCATTTCTGTTTGATTCTTTCTTCAAAAATATCTATTGGCTGCTATAACAATAAATGAATCACCAGTTAGTGTATGCAAAAATTACAAAACTAAACATTTAGGATTTTGTAAAATTAATTAGAATATATTACCTTATCCTTGTTTCCACTCATACCTATACCAGAGACACCTGCAGAACAGCAATGATGTAACAGTTTAGTAAATTGGACAGTTCAAAAGTAAAGAAAAGTCTTATTTGAAACTTTTTTTGTTCAAAGCAGCACTAAAAGCAGTTTCTTTTTTGTTTCTTTATGATTTATTTCATGTTCGCCTCCATCAATTGGCACCTTATCGGGGGATTTTTGTGTTCCAGTGAACCTGTGAGCAATTTGTCCTTGGTAGAATTTCCACTGGGTGAGATGCCAGATAAAGAGCGACCAAGATAACTCCTATGTAGTATGACAATCAAGGGTCCAGTGTACCCTGGCTTACCCTGGAGAGGAATGGGACATTGTTTAACTCTAGTGTTGCCCTCGGTGAGGAGGCAACAGGAAGGAGCGGGTATACTTGTATCCCCCTAGTATGTCACGAGTACCTGGATTTCTCCCCAGTGCACGGCTCTACACTTATTTTTTGCCACGGGTGCACTGGTGCGCCTAACTTTTTTTCTTAGGTGCACCAGTGCAAAAGTTAGGTGCATGCAAATGTTTCAACCACATCACTCAACACAGACAGACAATATTGATTTGTAATTGATTAACTGACAATCTTGTCAACACAATGTTCTTTATTTGGAGCACATTTCTACAAGAAAGATAAGTTACCATATTTTTTGGACCATAAAGCGCACCGGATTATAAAGTGCATTTAGCAAAACCAAATAGTCTGATAAGTCAATTTTACTCAACTCATTCTTCTTGCTTCTTCCACTTCTGTACCATTGAATCATTAATGTTGAATTCTCTTGCAGCTGCTCTATGCCCATATTCGACTGCGTGACTGATAGAGTTTGAACTCCGCTTCATGAGCATGTCTCTTAACAGGTGCCATTTTGGGATTCTTATACACAATACGGTAATATTATGTTGAAGCATGGTACATGAGCCTCCTGACTGTGGTAGCCGCAATGCTCCATCCTGCCTTCTTAGAGCCACTGGATGGGGTGCTAAGGAGTGCTCTATTCCCAGGGGTTCTATTATTCTGCTGGGGAACATCAACATTCATGTGGGCAACCACAGTTAGATTTGGAGGAGTATGAACTTTTGGTATGATGTTCCTTTTCTGAAATGCTGTGCTACTTTTATGCCAGATGTAATTGGACGTAATAGGTTACACCTTTCAAAAAGTTAAACTTTTGTCTTGGCAGTCCACAGAGTATTTTCCCAAAAGTCTTTAAGATCATCAAGATGATTTTGAGCAAAACTGAGATGAGCAGGTGTTTTCATCTTGGAACTCATGAGAACAGGTGTGGAAGTAATCAAGCCTGGGTGTGGCTTGTGAAATTTAACTTTTTGAAGATCTAATACTCCACAGTCACTTTATGTTAGACTGGGGATTGATCACTTTTTCACACAGTGGTTACTTGTGTTACATTTGCCTCATATTTAAATTTGTTTGATAATCTGAAACATTTAAGCGTGACAAGCATACAAAAAAATAGGAAGTCAGGAAGAGGGCAAATGCTTTTTGGTTGCTTGCAAATGTGACACCATTTGCAAGCAACAGAAACAATCAAATAATTGTATAAATAAGTGCTCAGATGTGCTTCAGTATAGTTGCTGATTAACAGGACTATCTTCTACAATCGGCCATAATGGCATATATGTGACTTTGGAACCAGCTGCAGCACAGTCCAGCTGACCACAAAAATCTACTGCAGCTGACAATACAAATTATTATCAGTGATTTCCCCCTGCTTCCCCATTACACTAGAACTAGAACAAGGGTTCCCTTACCGCCCAAATCCTACTTAAACTCCTGCTGTTAACCTATGTCTCTTTTTTAGGAAGCAAGTTTAACAAACCTTTCAATCGACCTTGAAGTCTGAATTCACTTCAAACTAAGAAAGTCTAATTTTTCAGGACCTGGCTGTTTAATCAACTTCAAGTACATACATACGGAGTTACAGTAAGTTCTCGCATGAGTAGTGACAAAAAGCTTTGATACCATGGGCTATTACTGTGTTCTCATCTTAGAGATGACCCAGAAATAATCTTAGTACATCATGCAAAAGCATGATGCCTAAAATGATAATGATTCTGGAGGAGAGAGGACAAATTAATATTCCCAAACATATTGCCAATGCAGTTAAAGCAAACTTGGAAAAAACTAAACAAAAACACATGCAAATTTTAAAAGAAAAAACCCTCCAGCACATTCAATAAAACATATTTTTCTGACTAACAACAATGAGCGAGTCACAAAGAAACTAGTGACAAATTAAAGAAATAAAAAACAAAGTTTGTATTTCCCATATTCTCTGTGACAACAGCATTCAGTGATTTGTCCTAAAATAAAATAAAATTTCAAACAAAACTTTTTAGAAGAATTTAGGATCTACTCACAATAAAATCTTACCTTTTTGATTTTTCAGAAAAACAGAAGAATTGATCCCAATTTCCTCCTCTCTGTTGGCATTTTGATCCAAATGCTCTCTCTCATCTTCATCACCCACCACTTTAATGGCACAGTGGGGACTGTTTTCAGAGACCATGACATTGATTTTCTCTAACAGATTTATTATCTCATTTGCATCCATCATGCTTCTTGTGCATGTGTGGTATCTTTTTTCAGCAAAGGTGCAGTTAGCTTTCAGGTCTGCCAGTGCACTTTCACATTTTTCATTTGAGTCATGAGTCACAACTGTCATGACAAAAGACAAACATTTTTTCCCAAAAGCTTTTTCTAACCATTGAATCCCTGAGCTGTAATGGTGGTTATGCCGACCATATGGTAACAGTAAGAGAATGGCATGAATTCCCTGGTTTAGTGGGATTTCATCAGTCTTTTGGAAACCAAGCATGTTAATGACAGTGATATGCCGACCACACATATCATACAGCCTGGATGAAAACTTTTTAACATTGGTTTTGTCATCATAATCAAGTAAGATGTTTTTTGGCCCAATCTCAATAGTATTTGTATCACCAGTTAACACAATGGTGAGCTTGGGTGATTCTGAAAGAAACCAAACATCAGCAGGTCATATTAGTTCAAATGGAATATTCAAAGTTGTTAAACATGCTCTGAAATTAAAAAAATAAACAAATGTTACAATGTTCCTAATTAACATATTACCTCTGCCAGTCTTAATACCAGTTTCAAGCTCCATGAGCTCCTTGAGTATTCACTGGATCACACTGAGAGAGAAGTAAAAGAACATGCTTAAAAATGTGTGTGATAGTATATGCCTAAAATCAAGAAACAGGAAATGGTCAGTAGACCAACAAGAAGACAGATAAAGAAGAGGTAACAGTGGAAGGGGCAATCGATTTGAGGGAAAAATCAAGATGATCATAATCCACAAACAAAATAATAAAATAAACTTACCTTTTGTTATTTGCTTCCTCTCATCTCCTGGATCCAAGATACAAGGCCATATATAACTCTCAACACCAACTAACCCCTCCCACTTGTTTTTAACAGATCTGGCGTGGTGAGAAACATCCAATAGGCTGTGAAGCTCTCTGCATTCATATCACTACCAAATCAATAATTATAAAAGTAAAAGAGAAAGTAAAAGAAAAATTATTTGAGACTTGCGACTTACAGAAAATCAATTGTGATTGTAATAATGAGACCTGTAAGGCTGGTCAGACTTGTTACGATGCAATTAACTGACTTCTGGATGCTTCATGATTCTGAGCTCAACAGTTTAAAGAGTGAAGAGATAAAATGTTTACTGCCAGTAATATGATGACATGAAAATGAAAAACAAAATGCCTAATGCGCAGTGTAGCTGGGGTAACTAAAGCGATGCTTTACACTATTCTGCAAGACAAAAGTTTGGGTTCAGTTACATGTTTACATGCAACACAGTAATTTTTAGAATAATAAAATTGGCATATCATTGATCATGAAGTTCTACATTTATTCCTGCTCACTGATGTACCCCTTTCAATTGGTCATTTAAAGTAAATATTGTGAGTAAATCATGTGACGGGCAAAAGCTCACTGAATTTAGGTTTCATCCACATAATGGGTAAGAAACGTGCTGAGAGTGAGTTAGAATATGGCAAGGTTGGTGGTGGGAAGCAGCTGGTATTTTAGCAATTACTAAGCTATTTGGATCTTTTCACTGTTTTACATTTGACAAAGAATAGCCTGAAAGCAAAGCACATTTTCTATATTTCAAATGAAAAATGCATTTTTATTTGCAGAGATAAGAATGGCTAAACAAAAAAATAAATAAATACCCAACAACTATAACTAAAATAACTTGTCATAAATGTGGGTTTGCACAAAGTGTCTCTGGATGCACAACATTAAACTGATTTTGTTCTTTTCTGTGATCTACCGGGGGATCAGTATTGGTGCTGCAGACAACAGACTGAATAAACCGATTAGGAAGGCTGGCTCTGTGTTTGGCTGCATACTGAACACCTTTGACACTGAAAAACTAGTTCATGTATTTATTACTCTTAGACTGCAGTATTGCCTTCAGCTGATCTAAAATGCTGTAGCAAAAATATTGATACTGACTCGAAAGAGAGAGTGTATTTCTCCTGTATTCTCTTAAATCCAGAATCAAATTTAAAATCCTTCTCCCACAAACAATGTCTTGAATAATTAGGTATCAGACTGTGGGGTCACTTGTTCTTATAGTATTTAAAAGGCCCTTCTTTTGACAAATCAGCTCCAAGTTTGGATTCAGAAGAAAGACACCCATACTACTTTTGAAATTTGAAGGTGTGAAGGGGGTCAATCAACAAGCTGTTATCTACCATGGATAATCATGATCACCCGCTGCACCACTTTTCTCTAAAAGACTGATTCAGCACCACTTGCTAAAACACAGTCCATAGACAGAACTCAAAACTCCAAGAGCCACGAGGAATTACTGGGGAAGACTAAGAAAAACACAGCAATGTGGGACAACATGATAAAGGACAAGAATAGACTAAAACAATGAATAGGTTAGGTAATGAAGCGAAATTTCAGTGAAGATGTATTCAAACATACAAACTCAACATAAAGGGGCAAAAGGGAAAAGACTCAGAAAACAACAATAGACTATGCAAAATAATAAAAATGGCCCAGACTGCTGAGGTCGAAAGAGTGACCTCAGCAGTCCATCTGCATCTAAAGGACAAAGGTCACTCTTTCGTAGGATGCCAGTGTTCACATTTTGGACAGAGAGGACAGACGGTTTGAAAGAGGGGTGAAAGAAGCCATCTATGTCCACTGTGAGCGACCATCTTTGAACATAGGCGGTGGCTTACGACACCAACTGTCTGCCATCTATAATCCCTTCCCAGACGCCTTAACACCCACTCACATCCTGGGCCATCTGACCTCAGGAAATCACATGATAGGGTGGGGCCAGGTTTCACAATGAGCTCACCCGAAACCCTGGCTGATTGTGACCCACACCCGTTTTCACACCTTGGCTCATGTGATTAGGTAGAGGATCATCAGGGGGTCCTTTTGTCCCTCTTTGGGGGGAAACTCCCACTGGGTTTAAATCTGGGACTCTCCACCATTTGACCCTTAGAACTGAAGAAGCTTCTCGGATGAGAGGTGAAACATCTTCAAGCAACTTAAAGAAGTCGCTTTTCTTTCCAAGCTCCTTAGACTACGATGACCTGGATGACTGAGAACCTTCACAGACTTAGGCGATAACCCTATGTAACCCAGAGTAAAATCTGTTTCCTGCACTTATTCTTGCCATTGAGTGCATCGCAGGTACATGACTCCAACCACATGACTTTGCTCAGCCAATCGGACGGCACGTGGGTCATAGTAAGCCTGTCCCGGCTTCCTCCTGTCAGATGCGTGGAGGCAAGCCAGGTGACAGAGCTGTTGCAGGTTTGTATTGGCAAACACTTGCTTTTTCCGTTTTAATGCTTCTTTTAACACCCACTAACTTATGCAACTTAGATGCTGGTTACTGTGAGCCAGAGCCATAGTGTTGTTGTGCACTGAACAGAACGGAATTGGTGAGTTTGAACTTTTAATTGATTGTTTGTATTGCTACCAGCTGGCGCTAATTGGTTGCTGCCGGTCCAAACAATTTGATTTTGATTTGACTGGTATTTGTTGAATAAATAGTGCTGTGAAGCTATATAGTATGTATATAGCAGTTGAAATGTTTCAGTTAAATCCTTATTGGTTGAATATACTGTTTGTTTGTTTGTTTGTTTGTTTGTTTGTTTGTGTACACAGGAACAAGAATAACTTAATGTTTTTAGCTTAATTGGCTGACATTTTTGTATTATTCTTGTGATTTCTTATTGGCCTTGTTTATTTAATGCAGGCCAGGTGAACCCTTTTCGGGTATGAAAAAGGATGGCGAGCCAATGAGCGGCTAGGAGCAGGACTCATTCCGCAATCGAAGCTTCCACTGGTTGGGTAGGAAGCTATCAAAGACGACGCTCTGTCCCCATTTTCCAAATATACTGATTTTCACACTCATGCACACCATTCCCCCGTTTATGGACAATAGCGCTTGGACATCTCTCATGGACACTCAGATAAAACTCATGGACTTCAGTGTGGATCAGTGTTCTTGATGTCAACATGTGTTGTTTATGGGGAACTGTTTTCTATGTTGCTTGGTACAAGCCAGAAGAATTGGCTTAGTTGTTTTGTGCACCCTCACTGGGTTTTTGGTTAATTGAATAGCTGCAGCAGGAGTGATTATTTAAGTTTTCCTTTTCTTTTCTTGTTAATTTTCTTTGGGGTTCGGTTAAATACATGGTACCTGCAAAAGCATTTTGTGTTGTGTGTGTTTATTAATTACTGCCCATCAGCTCCTGTAGCATTCCTAGATCTTCTGATTAATAATAATAACCATAATACTTCACTGATTAATAATAACCATAATACTTCACTCAATACCTAGCCTGTATTGAGTCATTGGCGCTTCATCAGTGTTACACCTAACCCTGCGATAAATGTATATTCTAGTGAAAGGCAAAACTGACTTTTTGGGGGAAAAAAGTGAATAGGCTTTGATGTGTGCCAGTTATATTGGTTGTTTTCTTTGTTTCCTACTTGAAAAAACTTGGGTGAATAATATCTAAAAAAAATAAAAAATTATATATTCATATTATCTAGGGTTAGACCAGTGGTTCTTAACTCGGGTGCGATCGAACCCTAGGGGTTCGGTGAGTCGGTCTCAGGGGTTCGTCAGAGCCTCCGCCGTGACATGCACGGCTCATTTTGTACACCAGTAAAAAACATATGTATGTCTTGAATTTGGAAAAAAAAAAATTGTATTTTATTTTTCACTGAAGAGGGGTTCAGTGAATGCGCATATGAAACTGGTGGGGTTCAGTACCTCAAAAAAGGTTAAGAACCACTGGGTTAGACTTAGTCTTAGGGCTGGAGTCATCACGAGTAATGATTTAGACCTCAGGGGGTTAAATGGTTTGAGGCGTCACTGGATCAACAGGGCAAATATGGAAAATGGTAGAATATAATAATCACATCATGAAAGTGTTACTTGCAAGTTTTTCTTGGCAACTCTGTTATGCTTTCATGTCAGTATGAACTAAAATTGGAAATTTTATTTTGAACTCTTTGGGCACCAAGAGTTTGATGGCTCAAAAGGGAATGCACTGACACAGAGCTGAGCAACAGCAGCAATCAGGGACATTAAAAGAGGACTTTTGATTAAATGAGAAAAGTCTCAGAATTATTTAAATGGATTGCATCTGTTATAGTCACAGGCTGTGTGATTACCCAGCTCCTTTTCCCAAGCCAGTGAGCTTTAAAAGTGTAAATATGTGAAACCAAGCCAAAGAAAGAATAGTGTGAGTTATGTATTTAGGTTTTCTGCTAGACAGCAGGGGAAACTCTAAGTGGAGGTTGTTTGCATGCTTTTGGCACTGGTAAGTCACACTCTCATGCTTTTGTTTCTTAGTTCTCAGTTATTCCCAGGCTACAAGTTGAATTGCACACCTCCATGCAGTTTCCTCATCAACATTCCTGTATATTTAAAGACTTCTCAGTCTATAGTCTCCAAAATACCCTGTGTTGTGTTCTGAATTGTTTCAGTTATCAATATCTTTAGTGTTTGCTTTCCTTCAAGCCAGCTTTTGAGTCCTTCAAACTGGAAAATTATGACAGCTGGGGTTTTCCCAGCAGTAGGTTACAACCAACTAGATG